CCTCCCCTGTACATACTACCCATCGCCATTACACTCTGCACTCCTCTCCTTGCACATACTACCCGCTGCCATATACTCCGCACTCATCTCCTGCACATATTACCCACCACTATATACTCTGCACTCCTCTCTAGCACATTCTCCCCACCATCATACTCCACACTCCTTTCCTGCACATACTACCCGCCGCCATAAACTATGCATTGATTTCCTATACATACTAACCGCCACCATACCCTCCACACTCCACTCCTGGGCCACCACTGCACTCTAAAAACTCTCTCCTATACATACTCCCCATTGCCATACACTCTGTACTCCTTTCCTACAGATACCCTCTGTAATAAAGTGAATGTCCCACATGCAAAGTACATACTAAAATGGTTTATTGGAAATTTTTTTGAAATGTTGGCAACTATGTTCTATGTGACTCACAATATGTACACTAATATTGTACATTATACCACTCCTGCACTATATACACTATATTGTAAGAAGGCTGTTTTTTTTTTTTAAACATGCACATTTAAACCTCTCCCATTTTCCCTCCTCTCTGTGGACCCACCGACAGTTCGCCGTGGCTACATTACTACTCTCCTTAAGCTACCCAAGAGGCACCCTCTCTCTCACTTCACTCCCCCCTCTCTCACCCCCACCCCCTTACACCCCTCTCACCCCCCCCCCCCCCCCATTTAATGTATTTGTTTTATTTTCATTTTATTTCCAAAAAGGCCAATGAAAATCCTCAGCACCAGGGCCAATGATGCTCTTAATCCGGCCATGTACATACGGTATGCAACGTTGTGTTCTGGTAGCAGTATGGGGACTTACTGTCCTATTCCCGGAACAAAATCAAGTCAGGCTGAGAGCAGTTCAGCCATAACACAGGAAGCCTTGTAATTTTTATAAATGAAGAAAAAGGTTGTTTCTCATTGGCTGAGGTGGAGAGGTAAGTGGATGACGTTACAATCTCCACTTGTGAATTATTGAGCAGTGTTTGGTCTGACTCAATTTTGAATAGTGTATAGCTGTATAGCTGCAGGAACACAGCATTGTATACTGTATGTAGCTGGTTCTACATACAGTTTATATAGTGCTGACAGCAGCTGCATTTCTTAGTAATAAAAAATAGCACAAAACTTGGAGTTAGGCTTTAAGTTTGTGAAACAAATAAATATTTTAAAAAGTTTGCCTCTGCCAAATGTTTTTTATTAAGTTAAGAAAAAAAAGAGTATTGGAGAGCCGATAAGCTACAATTCAAAGAACTAGATAAGTGTAATGAAAATCTTCTAAGAGTTGCTGCCATCTCCAACTTTGAAAATGAAGAACCACCATCTGCAGCAGTTTACTAGAGAGAATGTGAGCTGGAAGAGCAAATACAACAATCCAAGGAGACTGATAATGTAAAGAAACCGCGCATTCATTCATTGAGACCAACACCTGGCAATGGTGGGAACCTTAATCCTAAATTTAAAAATTAGACACTGCTAGAAAATTATGATACAACAGGAAAAAAAGATAAAGTAACCTTGATTTAGAAAGAAATGTAAATATTTGAAATATTTGTACAAGGTGTGAATAAAATAGCTTAGTATTCATAAGCACCTGATGCCATCTTTGCTTAAATCTGCACTGGAATGCTGTCATACAAGTCCTGTACCCTGTACTGTACTGAAAATCTGTATTAATGTTCAACAAGAAACAGTTTTTGAGTGACATGGATATCATAAATCAACTTCTCACTCTGCACTCCAAAATTTTCCATACAGTGAGTTCAGACCTGCTGTTTGGAGTGGCAATAGAAGGTACTAACCTTAAAGGCATTGTATAATTTCAAATGTTTTTATCGTTTTAATGATTTAATAGTGTAGATATATTCTCTGTGATGTTGGGCTCAAAAGCTGTGGCTGCAGTTTGTAGTGTCATGGCGGATCGATCTTTCTATGTTCATGTATTCATGAACCTAGTTTGCTCCTATCCATTAAAGGGACAGGCAACTCCTTGTTTGGGTCACACAGCCTCCAATCCATACAGTAAAAATGAAGGAAATTATTTTTGAAAATGTGGTGCAGAAATAAGAACCATCCGAATCTGCTGCACAAGTAGATAATACCAAAATGGGCTGCAGGGATTTTTGAATCTGTCGCAGGACCTTTCAAAGGGCCATACTACCAGAAACGTGTCCTTAGGGCTTTACTGAATTTCCCCAATGAGTGTTTGCAACACAGGGTAAACCTGGTCCAGTAAAGCTTCATTATAGGACTCAAGCAACACAAATACCTATATTATTGCAGATGACAACAGATGTTATGGGTAAAGACCTTTAATAAAGGTATAGTCATCCAGAAGCAAAAAAGATCACAGCATATTTTTCTATCAGTCAGGGCTCAAGAATTTGTGCTCAGTTTCTAAATAATAGTCTCCTATATATCGTAACTTATGATGTTTGCTAGTAATGGGTCTCAGAGGTTCAATTTGACTAATCTAAATTCTCAGTTTTGTATTCACTGTATTTATATCGGACTCTGAAATGTGTGAACTGCATAACTGTAATTCAGTTTACTTTTCCCACTGCAGTTTAACAATACAGCTCGATCACTAAGCCCAAGTCTGCTAATTGGACAATGTAGGAGCATCATTACACTGATAAAGTCATCTGTCTGCTTTTTCCTCCTGTCAGCAAGCTACCAGAAACTACTCTGCCCCATCTAGCTGCTGTCTGCTTTTTCTTTTGCAATTATTATTGTACCTTGTAAATGACATTAATTTCCTGGCACCATACTCCTTTATTGTACGAACCAGGGCCATGTTTTGTATGTGACTCACGCCTTCCTCTTGGTAATGAAAAGGGGTTAAATGGTTCAACTATTGTCTGTCCACTGCAGTGCTGGCACAGGAAAATATATCTGGCCATGCAAAATTTAAACTATACAACTTTGCAGCTATAAAAAGCTCAGGGAGGCAATAGCTAAACAATAATATATACAACACATGGCAAACCTAAAGTGGAACTGAACTCTCAAAAATACTCACCTCTACCTTTCAGAGGATGTTAAACACTCCTGCTCCATCAGTCAATACAATCCAATAATCGCAGACAGGACTAGAAAGGGTATGCCTATTAAACTCCAGTGAGGCTAAAAAAAATGGAGGGTGCCCAGGCTTGCTCATATATCCTCTGTAGCTTCTAATAGGAGAATTGGCACATTTTATTAGGAACACTTTGAATTTTAAGTCAAAATCAACTTTTAAGTGTAATTAAACCCTTCTGTCTTTTACAGGAAGCTGTCATCTTAGGGTCTGTGTGATCTGCAGTGTGCTGCACATGTAATCAGCTTTGACAGTAGCCATCTGATGGCTTGACAGTTCAGTGTAAAGCTAACTTAAAGCGGTATTAAACCAAAAAGCAAGCATTTATTATATTGAAGTTTGCCAATTTTTAGATGTGATGGCTACATTAGTTCTCTTTTTGGCTTCCTCACCTTTATTTTCACCTGGTGATCTGGCCAGTAAGTCTGTTGTATTTCAAAAGAACAAGCTGGCCTGCAGAAGTAGCAGTTAGAGGGTTGAGACAAACCATTTACCACTGACAGGGGTGCTAACGATCGTCAGCTTTTATTTATGTAAAACCTTTACTCAAGGAAGAAAAACATTTTTTGCTGTAACACCTGTACAGTGTGACTCAATGTACAGTGCACATTGCATTTTCCTGACCATGCTCTGTATGCTCTCCTATATGGTACATACATTTCACTGTTGTATCTTACATAATTTTGGCCACTGCAGTCTGTACATTAAATAACCCTTATCACTGCATGCTGGGCTGTACAGTACATACTTCTGACCACTGCTCTCTATATGCTATATTGTAATCACATACTCCTGACCAAAGTGTTCATTGTCGCAATAGTTTCCAGTTGTCAAGTAGTCTCTGACTATATAAATGAATTGTTTCAGACAAACTGTTAGCTCTCTAGTCTGTGTGCAGAAGAGCATATGGTGCCACATCATTCTTGTCTATGGAGTGCCCAGGGGTGCAAAGGTCTTTCACAATCTTAGCAGTTTCCCTGGTTCCAACAGACACTGGATCAGGGATGAGACGTGTTTGGTTCAACTTCACTGCCACCCCTTCATTATAGGACTCAAGCAACACAAATACCTATATTATTGCAGATGACAACAGATGTTATGGGTAAAGACCTTTAATAAAGGTATAGTCATCCAGAAGCAAAAAAGATCACAGCATATTTTTCTATCAGTCAGGGCTCAAGAATTTGTGCTCAGTTTCTAAATAATAGTCTCCTATATATCGTAACTTATGATGTTTGCTAGTAATGGGTCTCAGAGGTTCAATTTGACTAATCTAAATTCTCAGTTTTGTATTCACTGTATTTATATCGGACTCTGAAATGTGTGAACTGCATAACTGTAATTCAGTTTACTTTTCCCACTGCAGTTTAACAATACAGCTCGATCACTAAGCCCAAGTCTGCTAATTGGACAATGTAGGAGCATCATTACACTGATAAAGTCATCTGTCTGCTTTTTCCTTCTGTCAGCAAGCTACCAGAAACTACTCTGCCCCATCTAGCTGCTGTCTGCTTTTTCTTTTGCAATTATTATTGTACCTTGTAAATGACATTAATTTCCTGGCACCATACTCCTTTATTGTGTTCATTGTCGCAATAGTTTCCAGTTGTCAAGTAGTCTCTGACTATATAAATGAATTGTTTCAGACAAACTGTTAGCTCTCTAGTCTGTGTGCAGAAGAGCATATGGTGCCACATCATTCTTGTCTATGGAGTGCCCAGGGGTGCAAAGGTCTTTCACAATCTTAGCAGTTTCCCTGGTTCCAACAGACACTGGATCAGGGATGAGACGTGTTTGGTTCAACTTCACTGCCACCCCTGACAATGTTCAATTGAATAAGAAGTTAGTGCAGAATTGGAAGTACTTACCGGCTCATGAATAATCTCAGAAAGGTCCTTCACCATATCCCTAAAGTTTGTCTTTAATCCTTCATGATATTCAAACTGATCCTCTTTAATGAGCTGTTCATTCAAATCTAATGCCGTGCCACATGCTTGTATAAACTGCCTACAGGGAGAAGAGAAAACAATCTAGATTAAGACAAATTCTCAAATTCTGATCAAGCTAACATTCAATGTTTTATTACAATAATATTTGCTTTTGATCTGAAGAAAAACTCTGTTGACCTTCACCAGGAACATCATCAAATATTTTATTTCTCAGGTCTAATTCAAATACATTAACTAAACTGTGAACATTATGAATTGGCTTTCCATTCAGAAAAGTATTTAGATTGTTGATGGACACTAATACTTCATGTTATCCTTGTAATCCTTGTATGTAATCCAAGTTATCTTTGTATGTAATAATAGTTATTCTGTTCCAATTTGTTTCTGGATTTATTTATTATTATTATTATTATTATTATGTATTACAGGTACTTATATAGTGCCGTCAATTTAGGCAGCGCTTTACATATGTAATGTACATTCACATCAGTCCCTAACCCTCAAGGGGCGTACAATCTAAGGTCCCTAACTTATATTCATGCAAACACATACTAGGGCTAATTTAGACAGGAGCCAATTAACCTACCAGCATGTCTTTGGAGTGTGGGAGGAAACCGAGGTACCTGGAGGAAACCCACGCAGGCACAGGGAGAACATGCAAGCTCCAGGCAGGTGGTGCTGTGGTTGGGATTCGAACCAACAACCCTAGTGCTGCCAGGTGGAAGTGCTAACCATTTAGCCACTGTGCTGCCCATAAGCAGCACTGTACTTGAATAAAGATGTAGTCTCAACTCATCCTGCCCACTGATCTTTACAAAATACAAAGGCCTCTTGTTCTTAGTTATTTGCCTTTTGCCAATTGATGGTCCAGTAGTAACATCAATGCAACCTTCTCCTTTTCTGGGAGTAGTTTTGTCCTACATGTTTTCAGTTTTTGGTGAGCATCTGCATTTTCCCTCCACTTCTTCAAAAGTGCAGCCCCTTACTTTCAAATAGGGCTATTGTGTACTTCAAAACATCCAAAGGGCATATATGTGAATGCAGAATAACAACAAAGGAGCATGAGGACGTAAATATTTATTTGTATCGCTGGACGTATTTTATCTGCCCAGTAACCAAAAACAGACAGCAAAAAAAGGGGTTGTGAAAAAAGAATCCACAAGAAAAAAGATACCCAGAAAGTCATCAACAAATTATGTTTTATTGCAAGATTTGCACATAATTAGACATTAAGGTAAAGACCATAGTTAGCCATCACCACAAGATGAGACAACACGAAAAGAACTAACCTAAAATAAAAAATAATGATAAAAGAAGGACGTCATGACCGGCCATGTATGTAGTTGTGCTGTAAAGACAGCGACACAAGGTCTTATGTATATACAGCACAGGCACATTGGAAACACCTGCATGTAGGGGATGTACACAAATATAATCTGAACATATAGGACTGTACATCAAAAATGCAATGCAAAACACTAGTGCCTATTTAGGTCATAAATAGCCACCTTGCTACTTTTTTCTACAGTTTTCCTTTAAAAACATCAATAAAACTACCTGCTTTGCTCAGTCTAATCCTGGGCAATACAGAATAAAAAAAAGCAAAGATGCCACTTGTCATTTTACATTCAAGAAAGCCAGATAAACATCTCTGTAAATTTCAAACCAGAGTAAACTATATTGGATTCCACACAAAGATAATGCAAACTTGACACGTCAGCACTAAGAAACCATAAGGATGCCTGCCATTAAAGATAAGAATCAAGGTTACTATGCAATGCAGGCTGGAAGGTTCAAGTGGTGCAGCCCTCCTCAGATTGGGGAATCCTGCATTGCATAAACAAAACAACAAAGAGGGCTAGTGCATTATCTCCAGCACGTTATACAGGGATACAGGAATACTCACATATTATACTCACAAGCAAAGATGGATAAGTGGCATAACATAAAACACATAACCCAGATGTCCGCTCTCCAACCTCAACGAATTGTGGGGATGACAAAATCATCTGACACATTTTGGGAGTCTGGGCCCTTTCCTCAGAGTAATGGCTGGTACACCCTCCACCTAGACCTCCTTAAATATAGTCTTCAAAGATCATGCCCACCAATCCCAATGTAGGAAGAGGTGGGAGGAAAAGCGGGATTGGAGAGGAGTACCACCCATAATGGTCTCTAGTCCCTCCTAGATTGTAAGCTCCAAGGAGCAGGGCCCTCCTATCCCTCTAGTATTGAACTGTATTGTTGCTGTATTGTCTCTGGTTATATTGTACAGTGCTGAGCAAACTGTTGGTGCTATATAAATCCTGTATAATAATAATAATAGTAACACAAACAAAAACAAATAAGTTGATTCCGTCATCCACACACTTTGTTGAGATTGAATAGTGGACTTCCAGGTTCTGTTTTTTTATATTATGCCACCTAACCTTCTTTGCTTCTGAGTATAATATGTATTCTTATATCCCTTAATAAAGTGCTGGAGATAATGCACTCAACGTTTGTGTCCTGTTTGTTGTTTATACTGGATTCCACATTTATGTCTTCTTTATGAATTAAACTTCCTGTGGATTTTGTTAAATCAACGGGCTTCTTTTTCTTCACACAAACTGGGTCTCAGGAGGTATGTTTCTCGTATAAAGTGGTATTTAAGATAGGACAATTTTGTAACTGTGTTTGTAGTTGAGTGAAACAAAGCTACCAATTAACCTAGAGAGATAATAGATCTAAAAATTCTTAAGCAATGAGTTATAGCCTCTTTCTAAAATAGATGCCTACATTGGCACAACTACAACATGTGCTAGAAAGTAACTTCAAAGTTACAGCAGAATAGAAAACGCTAGAAAGATTTATGCTAATGCTATTCACAAATGGACTTAAAATAAACATGCTTCAAGGGATCTGTATTGAATTAAAACAAAGTCACTGCCTAAAAACTGAAGTCAGATCTATAAACAAATTACCGCAAACATGCAAATTAAAACCTACCCAGATAAAAAAAAACAAAAAATGTATTAATTTTTAAATTATGAAATGTATGTTTAAATGTAAACAGTGTGTTTAACCTCTTGGCACCGGCCAAACGCAAATGTGCGGCCTCTCGGCGTCTGGGCCTGGACGCCGAGCAGCCACACATTTGTGTTCTATTAAAAAAACACACATATGTGCTGAGAGCGCGCGCACACTTGTCCGGTACTCACGGAAAGGTCCCGATCTCCTCTTTCGATCGGGACCTTTCCCGATCATGTGACTGCCGTGACGGCGTGTCACGGCGGTCACATGACCCTAAACCTAAAGGGCTGGGAGGGGCAGGCATCAAGGGGTTAAATTTCATATGAACTATTGTAAGTCCCCATCTTGCACCGGGGCATTCAGGTGTGTTTCATGAATATGTGCTGACAAGGAACATGCTAATGGAGGAGAAAGCAGAGTGACACTCTGAATGTGCTGCTCCTTCACTATTTAATCTCACACTGGAGGCATGGACTGTACCACTCTTAACTGCTTAGCTTCTCTACAAAAAGATGTTAATGTTAAGTGACATGTGAATACAATGCTTCCTTACTGAAACAACTGCATTATGGTGGGTCTGACAAGGACCGTAACACCATTATAACGGAGGTTGCTATTGAGGGCTATTGAAGAAGGAAACTCTCCATATTACTACATGAATATTTTTACATATGTCCTTAAGTATTACTACCATGGAAAAAAGGAGAAGCACACAATATACCATAGCTATAACTTCTCAATGTACAGCTTCAGCATATTTTTGAAAAATGTATACAGATGGGACTATACATCAAAAAAAGTATTTTTGTTGGATATTAGCATAATCTGATTTGCGTAATACATGAAAAGGCCCCAAACAGGAGTTCTGTATTCTTTGGATAGCAGAAGTGAAGAAGGATATAGAAAAGGAGGAAGGAATCCCCCTTTTATATTAAAGTATACATTTCATGTAGATTTTCAGTCTTGTTTTCTGTAGATACAGTGTGCATTTATAAGAACTAATATAATAAATAAATACATACTTAAATATGTCTTTCAGCTCTTTGACCTTTTTGCTGGGATATTTACTGGACCGGCTGTCATCAAGGAATGCCCTGGCATAGGCTAAAGGACCGGCATTGACCTATATATATAAAAACAAAAGTAAAATATACATTGCATAAGTAAATAACAGATATCTATCAATTACATGTCTATAAATATGGAATTTTCCATCTTCCATATTTCTTTCCCCAGGATGGAATAAATGGAGAGGCTATGTGTATGCATAAAAGAGGCAGAGCTCGGCCTGGCCCGATTAGGAGACTTTCAAGGAAAAGGTTGGGCAGCTCCCAACAAACATCTACAGTAGCAGGTAACTAGAAGACTTTAAGGAGGGAGGTTGGTACCAAAGGAGAATTAACCTACAGAGGATAACTGTATAGTATAGTTATGCTTTTTGGCTCATTTACACCAGGTGTTGGGACTGTTCTCAGCAGCCTTGCCCAGTCCCAACATATAGACAAGGCAAATGCCTTGTTTTCTATTAGGCCAGTTCACACCACTGCATTGAGGTGGTGTGTGCTGAAAAACCTTACAGCATACAATATTTTTTTGTCAGCGGGGACGCAATCCAACACATCACAACATTCTGCAGCTGATAAACCTGAATGAAATGTCACTTTATGACATTTCATTAAAGTTTAGAAAAAATGGTTGCTGTGCGATGCACTATGAATTATGGAAGAATCTTTATTACAAATTGATTGATTTTACATATATGGACTCTTTATGGACGTTTTATTCAGTTGTGTCACTCTTATTTTGTGCAGCTATTATTTAGCAGCGCTACATCACTTATTTATTTTTATAGTACACTTCAGTTATCCTTTATATGTACATATCTTGTCAATAGAATCCCAAGGAGATTTTAAAAACCATTAGTAGGTTTAAATCTCCTCCACCTACCAACAACTAAAATATACGTTTTAAAGTATGAACCTAATAAATGACAATCCAAGGTCCAGTGTAATTGTGCATACATGCTCTGACCAATGCTGACCATACAACTAACAATATGATCATTTTCCAAATGGATGGTTTTATCAGTAAATAATTGATCCTGATAGAAAATGTAACTAAATTCATCCATAACTCTTTTTGGTCAGATGACTTAATTGGCCCTCATCAGAACACAGTCAATTTTTCACCACCTTTTACGAGCTTACCCCACTGTAACGCTAATGCAGGCCATAGATGGGTCGAAAATCGGCCGATTTTTCGGCCGAAAATAAAATCGGCCGATTTTCGGATCGTTAGTGGGCTATTTGTTCAGCCGTTTTTCGGTATTTTGGCCGGTTTTTTTTTATCGGTAAAGTTGGAAAAAAATTGGCCGATTTTGCCAATCAGCCGATTTTCGCGGCAATAATGGGCAAATCGGCCGATTTTTTACCGATAAAAAATCTGCGCATGAGCAGTGACCTGCAAGAGGAAGACAAAAAGAAGAAAAAGAAGAAGAGGAAGAAGAAGAAGAGGATGATGATGATGAAGAAGAAGAGGATGATGATGATGAAGAAGAAGAAGAGGATGATGATGATGATGAGGAAGAAGAGGATGATGAAGAAGAAGAGGATGATGATGAAGAAAAAGAAGAAGAGGATGATGATGGTGAAGAAAAAGAAGAAGAAGAAGAGGATGATAATGAAGAAGAAGAAGAAGAAGAAGAGGATGATGATGATGAAGAAGAGGATGATGATGATGATGAAGAGGATGATGATGATGAAGAAGAGGATGATGATGATGAAGAGGATGATGATGATGAAAGAAGAAGAAAGAAGAAGAAGAGGATGATGATGAAGAAGAAGAGGATGATGATGATGAAGAAGAGGATGATGATGATGATGAAGAAGAGGATGATGATGAAGAAGTAAGTAGTAGTAGAAGAAGAGGAGGATGATGATGATGATGAAGAAGAGGGATGATGATGAAGAAGTAGAAGAAGAAGAGGATGATGATGAAGAAGTAGAAGATGAAGAGGATGATGATGAAGAAGAAGAAGAAGAAGAAGAGGATGATGACGATGAAGAAAAAGAAGAAGAAGAAGCAAAGAAGAGGAGGATGATGATGAAGAAGAAGAAAGATGCGGATGATGATGCAGAAGAAGAGGATGATGATGATGAAGAAGGAGAAGAAGAAGAAGAGGATGATGATGATGAAGAAGAAGAGGATGATGATGATGAAGAAGAGGAGGATGATGATGAAGAAGGAGAAGAAGAAGAAGGATAAAAAAAATAAGAGGAATTCCAGTCCGGCAAAAAGTGTTCCTGCAGAGAGCTCCGCTATTTCTTTGACAGTTCTTTGACAGTTCCTTGACATTTACAGCGGTTGCAACAATGTATCTATTTGTTTCTGAAAAAAACATCTGTATCCTAAATGGATACAAATAGATACATTGTTGCAACCGCTGTAAATGTCAAGGAACTGTCAAAGAACTGTCAAAGAAATAGCGGAGCTCTCTGCAGGGACACTTTTTGCCGGCTGTAGACGGGATGAAAATCGGCCGATTTTTTTACCATTGGTGGTAACGTCGGCCGCTTGAACGACCGATTTTTCGTTTTTTAAAAGAAAAATCGGCCGTTTTTCTCCCCGTCTGTGGCCTGCATAAGGCCTCTTGCACAATGCAGCTTAAAAAAGCTCAGTACAGCATTTACTGATCTAAAATGCAGCCCATTGTTTACAATGAGCCTGTACACACAGGCACGTAAACAAGTGCTGCGTATTCTTGAGTTTAAAAAAACAAATCTGCGTTCCTGATCAGTATTTTGCGCCAGTATGCGTATACATGCAAATACGTGTGAATATGTGTATAAATACACGTGAATGGGTGAAACTGGTAAAACAACCAACCAAAATTACATCCAGAAATGCTGATGCTTAAACATCAGTACTGCGTACAAAGGTACTAGTAATTTATTATGCTCAGCTTGAGCAATTGCAAACACGATTACCTGCACAGATACACAACCCTGTAACTTTAACTGCAACTGAATCATATCCACATCAGCTGTAGAGCATATCTTCTGCAAATCTGCTGTCTTCTCCTTTATCTCATCAATAGCCACATCAATTGGCTTCAGATCCACCTGATGCTCATAGATGACTGGGATTCGCTTCTTTACATATGGAAAAGAATTGGATGCTGGGGAAAAGAATACCATGCACATCAACTGATTTATACATTAAATATTTTTGTAGAGTTCAAGTGCAATAAATTTGTTTGGAAATTATTTGATATAGAAAAGTAAAAATACATTTTCCAAAAAATAAACCACTGAACCACTAAAAACAACCCTTTGAAATTAGTTTAGCGTAACTACTGCTATTATGTTTTTTTTTCCTCCAAATGCTTCAACAACCACTAGGCTGAGGGGTAAATAGGATTTGATGTTTGAACTTCCAATTCCCCAAATAATTTTTTAAAGCCTTTTTTTATATATTAGACAAGAAAAAATAGTGAAAGAAAGAGCAAAATGAAGGTAAAAGAAAAACAAGAAACGTAGGTCCCTCTAGCAGAATTGTCTCACCAGTTACAAATTGACAACAGACCAGGACAGACTAGATCTATTTAACAAATGAATTATACTTGGACTGAAGCCTAGATAAAGAAACTGAAAATGCACTGTTTTTACAGATCATGGAGGCGTGCTAGATTGCATTAATTTTATCTGGAAACCCTGAGAACAAATCAATTAAACTGGAGAAAAGGAAATGAGCTCAAAATTGGAGTCGCTGTCAACAAGTCAACCAGATTCTTTTTTAAAGTGGAACTAGGTTATTTCTAAAAGTAAACACTTTGAAATTCCAATTTAAAAATGGTGCATGATGCAGACTTGCAAAATTATACTATATTGCCAAAAGTATTGGGACGCCTGCCTTTACACACGCATCCCAGTCTTAGTCTGTAGGGTTCAATATTGAGTTGGCCCACCCTTTGCAGCTATAACAGCTTCAACTCTTCTGGGAAGGCTGTCCACAAGGTTTAGAAGTGTGTCTATGGGAAGGTTTGACCATTCTTCCAGAAGTGCATTTGTGAGGTGAGGCACTGATGTTGGACAAGAAGGCCTGGCTCGCAGTCGCAGTTCTAATTCGTCCCAAAGGTGTTCTATTGGGTTGAGGTCAGGAGACTGTGCAGGCCAGTCAAGTTCCTCCACCCCAAACTCGCTCATCCATGTCTTTATGGACCTTGCTTTGTGCACTGGTGCGCAGACAGGAACAGGAAGGGGCCATCCCCAAACTGTTCCCACAAAGTTGGGAGCATGAAATTGTCCAAGATGTCTTGGTATGCTGACACCTTAAGAGTTCCCTTCACTGGAACTAAGGGGCCAAGCCTAACCCCTGAAAAGCAACCCCACACCATAATGCCCCCTCCACCAAACTTTACACTTGGCACAATGCAGTCAGGCAAGTATCGTTCTCCTGGCAACCCCTAAACTCAGACATGTCCACATGTCCATCAGATTGCTAGACAGAGAAGTGTGAGTTATCACTCCAGAGAACACGACTCCACTGCTCTAGAGTCTAGTGACAGTGTGCTTTATACCACTGCATCCAATGCTTTGCAATGCACTTGGTGATGTGAGGCTTGGATGCAGCTGCTCGGCCGAGGAAAAACCCATTTCATGAAGCTCTCTATGCACTGTTGTAGTGCTAATCTGAGGGCCACATGAAGTTTGGGGGTCTTTAGCTATTGACTCTGCAGACAGTTAGCGACTTCTGCGCACTGTGCGCTTCAGCATGTGCTGACCCTGCTCTGTCATTTTACATGGCCTACCACTTCATGGCTGAGTTTCTGTTGTTCCCAGTTGCTTCCACTTTGTTATAATACAGATAACAGTTGACCGTGGAATATTTAGTAGCAAAAAAATTTCACAGATGGACCTATTGCACAGGTGGCAACTTATCTCGGTACCACACTTAGATTCACTGAGCTCCTGAGATCAACCCATTCTTTCACAAATGTTTAAAGAAGCAGTTTGCATGCCTACAGTAGGTGTTTGATTTTATACACCTGTGGCCATAGAGGTGATTAGAGCACCTGAATCCAATGATTTGGAGGGTGTCCCAATACTTTTGGCAATATAGTGTATGGGTATTGTAGCATTTCCATATGTCCCCCCCCCCCCCCCCCCCTGCTGCTGCGCAGGCACAGTAACCAGGACCTGGGATTCTCATAGGATTCCCACACCTCCCTCTCAGTATATCTTTATGCCCCTATATTTGAATAAGGGCAGAGACCATCACTACATAAAACAATGCAATCCCCCCCCCCCCCAATCCTTGTTCTGTCTTACCATTTGTTGACAACTGCAATTTTTAACATGGCTGATGATGGGTGGGGAGAGAATTTTCCTATTACATTTCCAGTTCCTGGCACAAAAAAAAAAAAATCCTACAGAGAACTTCCTGTGGGGTATCACCTTCCACTAATACTGATGAACAAACTAGCCAATATGATATATGGAAAATATGAAATAAGGATAATGCAAATAACACAGATTTGTAAGTATACATGCATGCATGATCTTTAACTTGCAATTTGCTCATTCTTAAGTATACGTACTTGTTAAAATGGTCCTTTTCTTGCACTGCTCTTCCACATTTCCATGTTTTTTTTTCCTGAGAGAGTGTATGGAGTTTCAAAAACAAATCTGGTGATGTTGTGATTCTTTTCAAAGTCGGTTTTCCTGTCAGAAAGCTCTTGTTCTTCTAAGTAAGGCTTCACATAGGTAATCTGAATATGAGCAACCTTCAGGTCCAGATCCTTGACATTCACCTATAAAAACGAAGAAAAGCAGATACTTGATACCTAAATCTAAAAGTGAAAAGTAAATTGGTGCTTGTTAAACACATTGGTCTGTGGCTTTGCCAAATGGTCTGCAAATATCAAATCACAAATCAATTACAGTCCAGCTCACATTTTTAGCATGGTGCTGCCTATGTTAAGGTGTATGTTACCCTAAATATATATATATATTTTCTATGTGTGTGTTCACATATGTGTATTTTAATAATCATAGTCTTTATCATTTTCATTAACATCTGAAGAACCTGGTTGATCCTGCCAGTCCCCTTTCTACCTTGTTCTAAACTGACCACCCAAGGCACAGACACTGATATGTGTTACTGTGGTCAGTTTTCATTCTTTGACTGGCCACTCAGAGGTACTGGAGTCTGTGCAGACACACAGCATGCCTGTATTGGGTAGTTTGTTCAGCCACCACATTCCCTCCCAATCGCAGCCTGGCTCTTGAACATGCTTCCTCCTCAAGCACAGCCTGCATCTTGTCTCAAACTAAGCAGACTGTGGAAAACAGGTGCACATTGGAGGAGATTTGCTGAAAACTGGAAAGTGAAAAATCTGGTGCAGCTCTGTGTAGAAACCAATCAGCTTCCAGGTTTTCTTGCCAATGCTTAACTGAACAAGCTGAAGTTAGAAGCTGATTCGCTACCATGCACAGCTGCACCAGATTCTGAGTGCACAAGTTTTAGTAAATCTCCCCCTGTGTGTCTGCACGTAGTCCTGAAACCCCACCCCCCACTATCAGGAAGAAGACATTATGGTCCCATGTAAGAACATTTAACCTTGTAAAAAAAAAAGAAAAGAAAGAAAGATAATTTCTGAAACTAAGCAAACACAGTTATGACACTTGCTTAGCTGTAACTGTATTAAAAAGTGTATATAACATAGTATGTTCACAACTACTTTAGGCTGCATTCACACAGGATCAGACAGCTGTTGAAGTGCTTTACCTCTCCGGCAGGTGTCCATTTCTGACTGCAGTAGAGGGCATTGTGGTGCGGGATTCAGTGGATCACACACAGCTCCTTTTTATTTTGTATCTGTACAAACTTTTTTCAAGTGCACAAAAGTATGCTTTATTCATTGTGCTGTGCCATGCGATTATGTATCTTGCGCTGCGATAAAATACAGCATGTCTGCATTTTAGCACAGCTCTGGGCTGCATTGCAATGTGAATGGGACACACAGGAAACAATTTTCTGTGTGTCTTTGCAGTGACAGGCATATACAATGCTGTAAAATGCCTTTCACTGCACTATGTGTGAATTAGCCATAAGCAGACAGATTCACCCTTCATTTCACTTATAAGCTCAATGACCAACTTCAGGCTGCACAAAGGGATTGGATTTGTAGGGGAACCACTTTATAAGTAATATAGATGGGGTATTGACAATCTTCATTGCCTTTTGTAAGTTCTGTTGATTTACTACATCAGATATCAAGTAAAAATCAAATACCGGTATGTTAAAGATTTGACCCTTGGCATTTATGCTCCTGAACATATCTCTCCTTTTTCAGAAATATATAGTTGTTTTCTCATATTGGATTCCTTTATTGTACACAGTGGTGTAAATTTTTCTTTATGAAATATCTTACAAACAGGGTAAGAAAAACATATTTACATATCTACATAATAAACATTTTTCTTTATATGAAATATCTTACAAACGGTAATAAAAAAATATTTACATATCTACATAATAAATAAACATTTTTCTTTATGAAATATCTTACAAACAAACAGGGTAATAAAAGCATATTTACATATCTACACAATAAATGAAAATAAATATATATAAGTAACCGCTTTCCTGCCGGCCTATAGTACAACTACTGCTACAGGGTGGCAGGGCTGCACAAAATCACGTATATATACGTGATTTGCATTTCAGGATATGGGATGCACGCGCACGCTGCCCTACCCCACGCCGCTATTGGTGGCTAGGGATGTCAATCACCAGGTCGCGTCTGGAGATTCCCTGCTGGCACCCAGCAATCGTCGTGTAAAACTGACAGGGGAGAGACCTGTGTGTAAACTATCTTGTGTCTCTTTCCCGGCAGCAAGGACATGCTGCTTTGTATTAAAATAAAAAAAGTTGCATATCTCCCTAGTAATCACACACAGCACATAATGTTAAACAGCACACAGTTAACCTTTGATCACCCCAGATGTTAACCCATTCCTGCCCAGTGTCATTAGTATACTGTCAGTGCTTTTTATTAGCACTGATGTAATAGTGTAATTGGGATGTAAGTGGCAGTTAGTCAATTCCCACCCAGTGCCAGAATGCCCGCCTCAGTCCTGCAGTCCCGGTATAAAGT